AAAAAAAAAAAAAAAAAAAACAACAGAAAAATATAAACAATAGAACTGAATTATTTGCTTGCTTTTACAAAGAACTATTAACCAAACTTTCATACATAATTTATTTTATTAATCTGAAATACAATAATCAAATAGAGCCAAAATAGCATTTATTATTTTAGTTAGCACTTAGTATTTAAAATACTAATTCTGCTTTCTGACTTTTGTCCTGCTAGTTGTTTTACCAGATTTTTATATACAGTTCCTTCTATCTTATTTTACATATCATGCTTCTATTTTTCCATTCTAATTTTAATTAAATTTTATTAACATTCAAATTACAGAGTGTCATTAATTTAATGAAGAATTCCACTTGCTAACCCTCAGCACTTAGAATTGAAAATTACTGCTGCTCAACTTTGCCATTAATGTTATAGCTTTAAAATGTACAAAATAGTTTCTTTTCTTATACAATATGTAAATGTAAGGAATTTCAGAATAATTACTTTCAGGTCTGTATCACATTAGAAAAATAAAGTATGCCAGACCAAGCTTGTACAACTATCTGAAAGGTGCAGAAACAATGAAAAAATAAAACACTTCATTCTACAATGCATTTCATTTATTGCAGTTACAGTGAGGGAAAAAATTATTTGATCCTCTGCTGATTTTGTACGTTTCCCCACTGACAAAGAAATTATCACTCTATAATTTTAATGGTAGGTTTATTTTAACAGTGAGAGTCAGAATAACAACAAAAAAATCCAAAAAACGCATTTCAAAAAAGTTATAAATTGATTTGCATTTTAATGAGTGAAATAAGCATTTGACCCCTTCGCAAAACATGACTTAGTACTTGGTGGCAAAACCCTTGTTGGCAAGTCCTGTCCCCTTAGCAAAAAAACACCCCAAAGCATGTTTCCACCTCCATGATGGACGATGGGGATGGTGCTCTTGGGGTCATAGGCAGCATTCCTCCTCCTCCAAACACGGCAAGTTGAGTTGATGCCAAAGAGCTCGATTTTGGTCTCATCTGACCACAATACTTTCACCCAGTTCTCCTCTGAATCATTCAGATGTTCATTGGCAAACTTCAGACGGGCCTGTACATGTGCTTTCTTGAGCAGGGGGATCTTGCAGGCACTGCAGGATTTCAACCCTTCACCAATTGTTTTCTTTGTGACTAGGGTCCCAGCTGCCTTGAGATCATTGACAAGATCCTCCCATGTACTTCTCGGCTGATTCCTCACCATTCTCATGATCATTGCAACTCCACGAGCTGAAATCTTGCATGAAGCCCCAGACCAAGGGAGATTGAGTTATTTTGTGTTTCTTCCATTTGCAAATAATCGCACCAACTGTTGTCACCTCCTCACCAAGCTGCTTGTAGCCCATTCCAGCCTTGGTTAGGTCTACAATCCTGTCCTGACATCCTTGGACAGCTCTTTGGTCTTGGCCATGGTGGAGAGTTTGGAATCTGATTGTGGACATGTGTCTTTTATACAGGTAACAAACTGAGATTAGGAGCACTCCCTTTAAGAGAGTGCTCCTAATCTCAGCTCATTACCAGTATAAAAGACACCTGGGAGCCCGAAATCTTGCTGATTGATAGGGGATCAAATACTATTTCACTCATTAAAATGCAAAACAATTTATAACTTTTTTGAAATGCGTTTTTCTGGATTTTTTGTTGTTATTCTGTCTCTCACTGTTAAACCTACCATTAAAATTATAGATTGATCATTTCTTTGTCAGTGGGCAAACATACAAAATCAGCAGGGGATCAAATAATTTTTTCCCTCACTGTATTTCTAAGTTCTAGCATTTTCCAGTGACTATGACTGAAAAATACTTTAAGAGAAGATAGTGGGCTCTGGGTTGAAATCTTCAACCAAATTTTCTGAAGACCCTGCAGTAACAAAAGATAAAGTGCATATAGGAAGAACAAGGAAGGGTCACAGACAAAAAAAAAGTGAATCAAAATTCCATACTGATCGTTTTAGTGCACATTTGTGTAATTTGCATGTTCCCGTTCAATTCTATATAATTCTGATTTTTCATTCCAAAAATGCTTAATAATTAATGTTCATAATTAAATAATTATTAAAATGACAACATATATAAATGCCTATTTTGAGGATGTTTCAAACTTGTGTTACTGTTGTCTATTTTGTCTTAATAGTCCTCTTACCCTTTGGATCCTGGCTTCAGGCTCGCAAAAGCTTTAGAGTTCTTAAGAGAATAGGAAGTTTCATTGAGGAAAGAGATAAAATGAGAGTCTCTCTCAGACTTTTTGGATTCAAAAATAACCACAATGGTAAAATGAGGTTCAGGTCGGGTTAAGAAGTACGTGCTCTGAACTTTGTCATCATAGAAATGGACAACCTTTTCCAAAGTATTCAGATCAGAAGCTCTATCAGTCATAATCATGATGACATTAGGCCAGTGCATGACAGGCCTGTCATTGGGCAGTGAAACCACTGCTGGATACTGGTCTACACCCTTTGGGGCTTCCCTATAGGACTGGGGGTGATGATAACCATGTCCCTGAAAGCTCTCTGAGCCACGATTGTCAAAGATTAATGAAACATTAACAGCATCATATTTCCTGATGAAGCTGGAGATTTTCCCAAAATAATCAGGATTAGCTTTTGCAGTCAAAGTTTTCATTTCAGATAAGGTTGTTTGTCGACTAAGTGCCTCATGAAAGTAAAAGCTAAATTTGGCAAGGAGAATATTTTTGAGTTTCATTAGCCACAGGAAAAGGTGTGGAGGTTGAACAGCTTTCTGAGACTGGCCACCAAAGAGATGCTTCTTTGTTTCCCGCTGCTTCTCAAAAATCTGTCCCCATGTCTGCAATTTCATGTGAGCATTGTGCAAGTGGACCAAGGATGGGAGGAACTTCCACTCAGAGATCTGGGCCTGAGCCTTCAGAAGATGCATAAGCACATCAGTTTCTAACTGGAAATTGCCCTCCAGAGGACTAAGGATTGGGTGATGAAATCTAGAAAAGGGAAAATAGTACATAAAAGACATTATTTCAACAAGCTATTTACTGTTTTAGTTCTAATATATATATATTTATTACCAATATTCTTATTTATAGTATATATAGTATAAAAGGAGAATGCTATCATTCCTTGATAGTATTTCTAAGCAAGCAATTAATGAAAGCTGTAATACCACACTTTTTCACAAAAATGTAATATTTACCAGGTAGTTCCATACTTGCTACAGAGCTTGCTTGGTTAAGGCACCAGGTCAGAAACTAGGAGACTCTGAGTTCTAGTCCTGCCTCAGGCATGAAAACCAGCTGGACAACTTTGGTCTAGTAATTCTCTCTCAGCCCAACCCACTTCACAGGGTTGTTGTAGTAGAAAAAATAGGAAGAAGGAATATTAGGTATTGCTGCTTTATTTATAAAAATAAGAAAGGCAGGATATAAATCAAGTTTCATGAATGATCATTCTTATATCAATGAGTTTATAACAAGTCAGCTCTAAGCACCCTTGGCACTAGATATCCAACGTCTTAAGTGCTATGAATTATTTTATTTACTCGGATGGCAAATCTCAAAAGATCATTATTATCCAACAATTATCCAACGATCATTATCCATCCCATCTCATTCATCTGTGCACCTACAGAACTCTTAGGTCTTAACAGAGCACATTCTAATTGCTTAAGAGAGATGACCTAAGGACAGCATCAGTTACGTAATTAAATTGTACTCTATGACATCACTTTTTCTTGTTTGCCCCCCCCTTCCTCAAAACATTTTTGCCTAGAAAATCACATTTGGGCCTATATTATATGCATTTCAGTTTTAGGCAAATCATAGGTCTGATTATGGTCTACATTTAAGCAACTATGTTTTCTGGTTAAAAATATAAGGATAAAAACAGTGATATATTTGCTGTAGAGTTCTAACTCTAAATATATATAACTGAATACTGAAAAATTGCCTAAAATCTGTTGATACTATGAATATACTACAGATTTTCCAGGAAAAGAAACTAAATAATCTCTTAATTTTTGAAATTTAAAACATGCTTTCATTTTATCCAATGGCTGATCTGGTGAGTCTTAATTAGAGTTTAGATAGTAGACAACAGGGGAATTTCAGTGTTGTTGGTTAGACTGGAAAGTCCTAAAGCATCCTGAAAGCACAGTAAACCACTTTCTTACTGTTGGCAGAATAACTGTGCAGATACAGACACCAAGAGCTCAACCTGAGAGTATTATTAGTACATAAGAATCTTATGTACACACACTAACCTTGAGCTGTATCTTTTCAGGATGGATTCCCAAACATTTATCAGTTCCTCAGAGTTTATATACTTGTGGGTACTGAAGCTGTACATTTTTTCATAAAAGTCAGCAATTTCCATCCGAGCCTGGACAAAGAAGCAGAGCTGTTCAGAAAGATGAGAAAGCAGTTCTTCAAGGTGCGGAGCTGTTCCTCCCACTGCATTCCGACCAGTTGCTACCACCTTCTTCAGCTCATTATGCAGAGACGTATATATAGTTCGTATAGAATCCTTCCGGCTGAAGAATGACTGCCCACCTATTGTTTGTTGTTAGAGAGTAGGGTGTTACTAAAGATAGGAATGAAATAATATGATACAATATTCATGCAAATTTTCTTTCGATTATTGATGATACATTCAGGGGTGCACTTTAATAGCTGCTTTCATTATCCCTTAATATTTATTCATATTGTAGTTAAAATATTAACTTATAATGATTTATCAGCATGATTTATCTATTAATAGACTTCTTTCACATCTCTCAAAATCCAACCTTTGTTTCCAGAATATTTAAAACTTTAAGATTAGTTATAATGAAAAACAGCCCATTTCCTGGGAATTAATGTAAGCAGCCTTTGTTAAATGTTGATACTTCACACTGCTACTAAAAGCTCTAGATCAGGGGTGTCAAATCGCAATGTCATGTGACGTGTCACGACATATCGTGACTTTTTTGCCATTGCTGGCAATGGGGTGGGCGCGGTTTCGCTATGATGCATCCGGCCCGTGGGCTGGCAGTTTGACACCTCTGCTCTAGATCAGGGCTTTTCAACCTTTTCACCAATTGTACCACTTTTAGGATATGGCAATATTCGAGTACCACCTAGCAAGATGTCAAAAACTTGACCAAAAAAAACCAAAAACCCTGTTCAAAGTTGCAATTGCACTGAAATAACTTATGACCATTTTTCACACTTATGACCATTGCAACATGTCCAGGGTTGTGCGATTTATATCTGTATGCTTGGCAACTGATGGTCACAGTGTCCCAGGGTCATGTGATCCCCTTTTGCAACCTTTTGACAAGCAAAGTCAATGGCAGGTCTGCTGGTGGCCAAGTGCTAAGGCGGGACTTCCTTCCCTCTCTCCCACCTTCGCTGCCTCCCTCTTTCTCATGCCCATCTCCTTCTGAAGGAAGAATATGGGAAAAAAAAAACCCCATATTTTCCCATATATTCATCAAACAAGGAAAAGCCTCCAGAGACAAAAAATACAAGCCACTGAGGGAACTAGCTTAAAAAGGTGCATTCCCCTTTAAGAATTAGCTACTGGCTAGAAGGGAAAGTTAAGGAAGAAAAAAAAATGTAGTAAGTACTGGCTGCCGGCTAAGGCAGCCTCCCCAAATGGTTCCATTCATAAGTAAAGGAATGCTACAGGCAAAATCCATTCAGGAGAAAAATACTTCAAAATCCCTTGCAGCAAAACCTACAGCTAACAATAGCAGAGCAATAGAAACTAACACGAGACATCAGCCATCAGCCAAATATAAATTGCCAAACACTTCTTAAGAAGACAAAGCCCACATTGCACAAATCCCAGAACTTCAAAGTCACAAAAGCACAGAAGAATCCTTCCATTCTCCATCTCCCTGCCTCACCTCCAGTCAATGCTGCCTTTCTTCATTGCTGCCTTTCTTCATTCCTTGTGGAGGGCGACCCCTCCCCCACTGCATTTCTTGCCTGTTTGTTGCTGCCAGCACGGATGGCTGCCACAGAAATTGTAGATCGGCTCATGGCCAGCCTGCTTGATCTTTTCTCCTCTCCCCCACCCTTCAACTTCTTTCTCTTCAGTGCAGCTAGAGCTGACTCCACCCCCTCCCAAGGCTGCCTCTTTTTTCCTCTCTCCCTCTCCTGCCCAAACTGCCTCCTTTTATAGCCTCTCCTGTCTCCACCCCCCTCCTCCTCCTTTCTTATCCGGGTGAGCAGGAAGTGAGCCTGGGGCCTTTGCCTCGCCCCAGCCACTCTGCAGCTCCGGAGGACTCTCCCACAGTAAGTCCTGCGCTGCGCTGGCTCGTTCCCTCCCCCACTACACTTGGCTGGGCAAGGCCGCATACCAACTGCTACGTGCTAATGTACCACAGGTGGTATGTGTAGCACCGGTTGAAAAGCCCTGCTCTAGATGGTTCAGCTTTTTGATCAAGCAGAAGATGAAACTTTATCAGTGGTGGGATTCAGCTGGTTTGCACCACTTCGGCAGTACTGGTAGCTAATTTTTTGTTGCCCAGGCCCAGAATGGACTTCCAAAAGCAGCATCCACACAAAGAACCGGTTGTTCACATATTTGAATCCCACCACTGATCTTTATATAACTATACTGTTAACAATCAAGGTAATGACTATATGTACCAGAAGACCTGCATATAATGCAACAAGACTATTGTAATAACCATGAAGAGAATTAAAGAAAAAGAAAAATAACCCTTCATGAAGGTAGAACCATAGGTAGCTGCGGATTTAGAACCTATTTTAAAGGATACTTTTTTCTTGCACTTTATCCTCCTTTAAATATTAAGACATTTTCATTACTTCCCTCAGAATGTGCCAGTCATTTTATTACCAACCTATTCTTTTTTTAATATTTTCTTTTTCAACTACTACATAGTTTCATTTCTCCCTCCAACTTCCTTTCTTCCTTTAATCTGTAACTTTTATGTGTTTCTAAGCCAGGATAGTTTTTGCTATTCTTGTGCAATACTTAGTACATGTTAAGCAATACTACAAATTATGTTAATTAGCCACATTACATAAAGCAATATAATCCAGAAGAAAGCCTATTGATAATACCAACTTTGAGATTTTGAGGACTAGTCTTAAAAATAAATTTTATACTACAGATGATAGACTGTTCCTACTACATTTATCATATATATTAGACCTATTGTTCACTACCCTCTCACTTTAAAGACAATTTTAGTTGTTATTTTTGGTCAACTAAATTTGACAAAATTCAGGAAGAGCCTTAAAAGAAAATTCAATCCCAAATGTTACCTAACTTCCTGAGATTCTACAAAAGAACAGCGCTTTTAGTTCAAAATGGACAACACAGCTCCCCAAATATTAATCTACATGGAAACCACAGTTAATCAGATATGTGGGGGGGCGGGATCAATTTATGTTACTATTTCAAGCATTGATTTTCCTATGTAATCTGCACATTCTGTCTAAAAGTAACACCTCCCCACCATAAGCAAAAGTACCAAGGACAGTGGTACTTATAAGACCTCAACCCCAAATGTATTTGCTAAAGATGCAGAGGAGGAAAAGAGAGCGAGGTATACAGGTCATTCTGAAGGGAGCAACGGTGCTTCGGATAAGTTTAGGAATGCACTAATTTGGAAATTTGGAACCGGTTCTGTAAGAAATGTCGGGATTAAGCCTCCCAAACACTGACTTTTGGCAGCCTTGAGTGAGGCTCAGATGATGACGAAAAGGCTACTTTCCCAGACTCAACTTCCCCCAGCCCTACGCCGTCCTCCTCGAGCCCTGCAAGGGTTGACACTCCTTCCCAGGGAATCGCCCCCAAAGCAGAATGGGGCGGACAAGGTGGGAAAAGGCGAACTGCAACGCCCAGCAGCAGCCCGAGTTTGAGTACCTAGCTTCTGGCCCAGGAAGGTCATGCTATGGTAGGCTTTTTCAGCCGCCGCCAGATGGGCCAGCCCCGCCAGAAGCGAAAGCCAGCTGCTCCCGGCATTCTTGTTAGCTTCGCGCTCCTTCTCCACATTGTCCTTGGCCTTGTCGTAAGAAAAGATGCCTAAATGAGAAAAAAACGTCTCCAGCACTGCCTGCTCCACCGGGACTGGCGCTCCCACGGGCATCGGCTCCCCCATTAGCCGCCGCAACAATCGCAACTGCCTCTGCTCGCCAGCCTTTGGCCCAAGTGAGAGCCTCGACTCACAAAAACAATAATCACGTGAGCTAGAGGGAAGGCCATAACAGGCGTAAGCCCGACCCCTTCCCTTTCAGGAGCCATTCCGGAGAGGCGGTTTTGAAAGGCTCAGCCCCACGTGACTTATCGGGGACGAGAAGGGCGTGGCAATAGGGTGGCAGTGAAAGCAACTCGTAGATTCAGTCATTGGTTAGGAGGCAAAAAAATTTCCGCATGATTAAGGTCTTATCCATTTCAGACAGTAGCAAGAGCCTGCGAGGGAGTACTAATCAACTAATTAATACAGAGCTGAGCTTAACTTGGGGTTAGCACAGGGGTCTTCAAACTTGGCCCTTTTATGACGTGGACTTCAACTCCCAGAATTCCTCAGTCAGCGTGCCTGGCTGAGGAATTCTGGGAGTTGAAGTTCACAAGTCATAAAAGGGCCAAGTTTGAAGACCCCTGGGTTAGCACTTCTTAGGGAAACCCTGAAAAAGGCTACTCAGCAAAGAACCTTAAAATCAAACATTGTTTTAAGTACTTAACAAGATTTATCCTGCTGAGCTTTTTTCAGTGCTTTCCCAATAGATGCTAACCCAAATTAACTTCACCTCTATGACCTTAATTGTAACATAGGAGAGAGCATTGTTAAAGGTCTAATGACCTTAGATGCAAAGTATTAAGTTTGGATAAGACGGATAGATCTTTCCCCTCCTACTTACAGCCATGGTGCCACAGTTAGAATGCAGATTCTCAAGGTTGACTCAGCCTTCCATCCTTCTGAGATCCATAAAATGAGGACCCAGATTGTTGGGGGCAATATGCTGACTCTGTAAAGTTGTATATAATTCTAAATGCTAGTGCTATTCAATTTGGATGTTTATGCCCTTTTTTTGTAAATTCTAGACCTCAGGACATAAAAGCCGGAGGATATATTTCCAGAACAAGCAGGACTGAAATAAAAATATATCTGAAAGAAAAGTGACTTCAAGTTTTTCTCTGTGCTTTAACTGATCTGCTTTCAGTGTGTAAATGTGCTGTTTTCAGAATACAAAAAATTGCAATGCTGCAATGGATTTATCCAATGAAGAGTGCATTACATCTCTGATGTACTTTCCAAGTCTTATGATTTCTGTATTGAGGCACATTTAATTCTAAATGAGGTACTATTTTTGAGAAAATGTATTTTTCAACTGAACATTAGTTTTCTGCATCTTTAATTAGCATATTGCCAGATAAAAATTAAGTTTTGCTTTTCATAAAGTTGAAATTGCCTAAGAAAATAAACATGCCCTGTGTGCATTTATGAAAGATCTAAAGATCTTAGCACCTCAGCCTTCTGCATAATTAGGGTATAGTAGAGCTGGGACCAGAATACACTACATTCCAAAGTGATGTATCAGAAGATTGAATTCTTGATGCAGCATTTTATTTGCAAAAGAACCATCTCTACTTGATCGTGTCCACTTGTCCTAGCATGTATGTCATGAGAAAATTGCTATGGATTTTGTCAGTGTCATCTGGAATATGCCAGGAAGAGAGCCTTTTGTGTTATGGCATCTGCTCTGTGGAACATAATTCCCTGAAATTCAGTTTGGTCCTGAACCTGTTGGCCTTTGCAAGGATGGATTGGAGTCAGAGCCTGTAAAACTGTTGTGTTGATATTTGTCTTGGTTGCTAGTTAAGTGCTCATTGTTGGTTTTAACTGATGTTAAATGTTTAAAACTGATGCCATTCAGAGTCATAGAGATGAGGAGTCATATAAATAAGAGTGGAATATGCTTTAAAACACAATCAAATGTTCAAAAAAATTTTATTGATACATGGAACATATCAATCAAGCCTACATTTAGAAGAATGTATTTGGTCTCTTGGTAGTAAAGCGTGGCTTATGCTGACGGCGCAACACTCTGTGTGGCAGAGGGAATTTAATTTTAGAATCCTGTAGAAAGAGATTAAATTTCATTAGAAGCCCAAATAAATATCATCAGTTTGGGTATTATTCAGAAAATTTTTTAAATGACACTTTCTAATGAAAGCACAGATATTTCTAATGTTACCGTATTTTCCCGAAAATAAGACTCATCCCAAAAATAAGCCCTAGCCTGATTTTTTTGGGTGGGCCTAATATAAGCCCTATCCCAAAAATAAGCCTGGGGGAGGATGGATGTGGCCAGCTCAAGACGCAGCAAATGTGTGGGGGGCAACGGTGTGCAGCCGCAACTGCAGCCACCTTGCCGCAGCGCAGGTTAAGTCCAAACGCCGAGGGAGACAGGAGACAGGCGATCCGGACATGCTGTGCCTGGTTCATGGGAAGCTTATGTGGCAGCAGGCGAGGCATGGGGGGGGGGGAGGCAGGCGATCCTGATGTGCCACACAGCTACCTGCCGCGGTGCAGCTGTGGGCAAGCCAAGAGATGGTGGGATGGAGTGGGGGGTGCGTCAGAAACGCCTGCCTCCCCCCATGCCTCTGCCTCTGTTTGCTGCTGCACAAGCTTCCCGCGAGCCAGGTGGACACACAGCACATCCAGATCACCTGCCTCCCTCCCCCGTGCCTCTGCCTGGCTCCACCGCACACTTTTCACCCAGAGGAAGACTGGAAGCTTCGTCTACTTGCAAATGGGGCAAATTGCTCCGTTTCAAAGCACCCCATTTGCAAGTAGACAAAGCTTTCAGTCTTCATCCAGGTGAAAAGTGCATCTGCCCTGGGAAGCCCTGTAAGCCGTTGCGGCCGCTGGCAAGCAGATGGTGGGAGGGAGCAGGTGGATGCAAAAAAAGACATCCCCTGAAAATAAGGCCTAATGGGTCTTTTGGTCCAATAAAATAAAATAAAACCCGGTCTTATTTTCAGTAGCATGGAGTGATTATTTAATCAGTGCAAAATAAAGGATGGAATTCTTAAGAGCACAATAATTATCAAATATTTTTTTAAAAGAACAAGGCAAGTGACTAAATACTTTTTAAAGCAAGTATAATGCTTAACAGTAAGAAACTGGATCATTTTGGAAAGTTGTTTTTTAAAAAATAAATATTAGAACTCCATGGCATATTAGCATTTTTAGTATTGAGTATTTGTTAGCTTAATATCTCATTTTCTTTAGAAGATCAAATTGGTGCATAAAGCACTCTTCTTCAGCTTTTTTCCAATGAACCTGCAGTAATTTAAGCTAAAAGATGTGACCCAATTGTTCTGTAGTTACCTGAACAGTCTGTGACTCCAATTTCAATATATATGTAGTCAATCAATCAATCTTCTTAAAGTCATTGATCACAGTTATAAACAGTTTCATAGAAAGCACAGGGCTCAGAGAAAAATTTCCAAATTATATGGTTTGAAAACACACACACACACACACATACACACACTTAAAATTTGCTTTACTTACATGGAACTGCTTGACAGCAGGTCTGCGGCATTTGCTAGCAGCGATCTCTTCAACCTTCATGATCTGAATAGAATGAGCACGGGCTCTATGACGTGCTCCCATATCACGATCTGCAATTCATCAGTTGAATTATACATTTTAGCAAAAGAATTAGTTTTGATTAAATACTTATACCAATCTCCATATAAGAACAGTATTTGTTGTAGAATCTTCAATTTCACTTTCAAAAACATTTCAGCTCTTGAAAGGCGACAAGATACATTTAATATCTGCACACATGACAAGAACATTTTATTATAAACAATGCTCTTTGGGTTTGCATGCAATTAAAAATTTCAAAACCAGTAGTGATTTATGGCTCTGCCATATAAGCTGAGCAAGTTGAATTAGAGGAGAATCAACAGATTCTAGAAATGAAAAATGTAATAGCTACATTCAATCATTTGTATAAAGAATATAAGAATGTTTAGAATCTTTTTAATGAAGTAATGTATGGTATGTTATTTATACTTTTAAAATCAGGTGGACTTAAATTTCAGGTTGACTTGAATTTCAGGTTTAAGGGAAGCTAAATATGCAATAAACATTTATCTAGGAATTCAATTTATTGAATTTACTTGGAAAGGCTTAAAAGGCTTATGTTGTGATGTAATCCTTGATATGTCTACCTTAAGATAACCAAATTTAACTCAAACTTTTGAGTTCATTTTTACAAACTTTATAACATTTTGTAAAAAATATGTCATGAATGTATTATATTTAAATTAAATAATCATTTAATTGTTATTGTATAAAAGACTATACACTGTTAGAAAAAAACCTATCAAAACTGTAATGGGGGGAAAACTGGGGCAAGGGGGCTGAACAAACTTAGGAAAAATTTAAAAAATGACCAAAAATAAAACTAAATACAGAGAAATCAAACTATTCAAATTGAATAACTCCCTTCAATTTTAACATTAATTTTTAAGCAATAAATTTAACCTAGACCACAAATGATATTATCCATTCTTGCCTCTCTTTGTGAACAAAGGCAGACAGCTGACAAATTTGTGTTAAAACAAATTTTAACGTCTGGAGCACAAGTATACATGTATCACTTTTTCTGCAGCAAATCCAACCTCAATCTACCCAAAGTTCCTCACAGATGAAAAGATTCCCAGTTTTAAGGATATTTAATAAAACGCTGACATCCGTCCAAGAATGTTGTTCAATATTAATATAAAACTGAGGAGGAATTAAAAGTGGACATGTTTATTTCATGTTTCTTCAAATTTATTACATATCCAGCATAGAAAGAAAACCTTTTTAAAGCATCCTTTGACTAATTCAACTAGCCCTATCAAAGGGTTTTTCTGAACTGAATGGATATTTAGGATATTAGAAGCATATCTAATATTAAAGCCTGAAGCTGGTGATTGAGTAATACAGCATAAATCCAAGTCTCTATACCAAATTTCTTATATATTGTCCAAATTAATTTTTGAACTTTTTTGCTTTGGCAATAATTGTCTGTTTAATATCAATAAAGGCCTTCTGGATTACATTCAAATGGCTCTTGAGTTGTTGGGACAATT